ATATATATGTGTGTGTGTGTGTGTGTTTATAAAATAATTAAAATACCAATAAAATATAATAAATAAATACATATACACGTATATAGATATAAAACATTAGATCTAAATATATATTATATATAAAATAAATATATGAGAAATTTTTCCCCCTAAATCCCACTTGTTATTAATTACTGCCCATACAATATGAATTATTCCAGTCTGCTGTCCTGATAAAGCATTCAGAAGATATTATTCTCATTCCATCATTGCGTATTAATGGCTTTTATTAATTCACTAGCAGCTCTTTCATCAGTCAAAATCAATAAACGGATCAGTAATTCTGGCGGACAGGATAAGAGGCAGGTAGCGGGAGTTAAAAGCGGACGGCACTGAGAGAACGACAGCCTGAGGCGACACAGACTGACCGCCGCCTCTGATTGGCTGCAGCCGTGGGTCGTGTGACCCGTTTAGTGAGCATGAGAGAGGATAGAGATGCTGAATGTGAAGGGTTTTCACAAAGCAATGCTAGTGAAATAATGCCACATTGCTTCAAGGGATCTTTGCAGAAAGACGGTTGTGCTCTTACCTTATTATTTTGGGCGAGCATGTGGGCGACGTTCTCATCCCTCCGTTACGCTGTTTTTTCTTGGGCGACAAAGCCGACTGCTGCTCCTCCTCCACTACTGAAACACCAGCCACAGTTTGAGACGCAACCAAACTACATATGTTACCAAACAACAGTCACAAACCATTAAAACACTACAAACCACATAATCAGACAGATGTGAGACACATACAGACGGGATGAAGCACAAAGACAGAGAAAGAGTGGACTAATTGTTCTACTGTTTGTGGTAAACTTTACTTGAACCCTTTATGTATAATGGATAATGTACATTGTAATGCATTATATACAGTATTTTCATAAATAACTGTAACCAAAGTTAAAATGCATTAGAATATTTGCAGATTCCTTGTTACATCTGAAACTGGTGGTCATGTGAATTACTGCATTATACTTTCTAATACAGGTGTAATATTGAATATACAGTATTTGGTATTATATTTGTGCTCATTTTTTATGAATGCATTATATATAAAGGCTTCAAGTAAAGTGTTACCTTAGCGGCATTATTTTTTTTTTTTAAATGGGCAGCTAACTTTTTCTTAAAAACATGTACAGCTTTACTTCAGCATTATTTTCAACAGAAAGCGGTAAAATGATTAGAATTGCAACAAAATATTTATAATAGATTTTGTAATGCATTTTACAACATTTTAAATAATTACTAGTTTTATTAAATATTTATTCATTTTATTTATCATCATAATTTTGTTCCACATGTTTTTGTTTGGGTGGCTTATAGTATTTATTATTAAATAAATAGTATATTACGGAAGCCCCGAATTGCAACATGAAAAAGAAAAGAAAGAAAAAAACAGGAAAAAAACAGTGTCTTAGATCCTTCCTGAGTCATTGTTTATTTCTCTTTCTGTATCTGATTTTTATCTCTCTCAAAAAACCTTTTTCTCTCTTCCAAATACCCATTTTTCCCTATCATAATATATTTTTTACAAATTAAAAAAAGTTCTCTCATATCAAATTTTTTTTTTCTCTTTTCAAAAAACTTTTTTCTCTTAAAAAAAAAACATTTTTTTTTCATTTTGCTTTTTAAAACAAAATTTTCTCTTAAAAGCTTAAAAAAAAAATTTCACTTAAAAAAACTTTTTCCCCTTTTCTTAAGACATTTTTTCTCTCTTCAGAAAGCTTCTTTTTTTCTCTTCAAAAAATGTTTTCGCTCTTTTTTTCTCTTATCAAATCCTTTTTCTCCCTTAATAAAAAAAACACTTGTTTTCTCTCTTTCATATTGCAATTCAGGATAGCTTGTTTAGTATTTCTGAACCCTGTTAGTCCACATGCATTTCCCACAAAGCCAGGCCGAGTCTTACAGAGCGTGTGTGGGCCGATGGTGGGGCTGGAGCCGTGGCTGGAATGATATCTGTATTTAGCAGGCAGACTACAGGCCCGATGCAGGCGGGTGGCATCAGATGCTCCTGTGTCAGTGCTGCTGCTCTGATACAGCTCTCTAGAGCCGGCCAGACTGAGTCTGTGCAGGTATAAGGCAGCCGGAGACAGCAGACTGCCTTTACGGTTATTTACTAAAGGAGCTGACACACGGACGCCCGGGACAGCAGGAGAATCTCTCACTGTGCACCGAGCTCACATTAGGGCGTGTTTGGGATTCTGGGGCTGGAATGTTGGACTGAGCTCATCGTTTACTGTCAGACAAGAAACATTCATAAGTAGGCAATGAAGAGAATCACCCATTTTTACTGTCCTTAACATATGATTGATACAATACTGTTCATTTTAGAAATTATGTTTAAAAGTGTTTTTATAGAAAATTTATTATAATATTTTTGTTTTTGTATTTTTAATATTTTATGTATATTTTATATGTATATTTTATTTACAATTTTTTTATAATGGAAATTCAAAAACATGTGCATGTTTTTTTAAATACTGACTCTGAATACTGATTTTATTACAAAATATATTTTAAAAAATAACTTTTGAATATTTAATTACTTATTGATTTATTATTGATCCTCCACAGTCACCGAGCCAGGTGCAATTTCTCAGGATCCTTATTTCAGTGATATCTGTCAGGTAGTAGTGATATTATATGGATAATATTCCTAAACTGAAATTGCTGACAGCACCATTAGCTGACATATTCGAAATGGGAAGAAAAAAAAAACTTCACACGTTTAGAAAACAATAAAAACAAATGAAAGCCAAAGCAGTGAAATCTACAAAGTTTCTGAAGTTACAGCTCCACATTATCAGAACTGCAGTGCAGCTGCACCATCTAGTGCTGAATGAGAGCAGGTGCCTGCAGAGCTGAATTATATTCAGACACAAGTGACATTCAGACTGCAAAAAGTATTTGGACACAACCTGTGTAAACTGATTTCATACAGCCACTTATTATTCTTAATGACCAACGAGCAAAAAAAGTTATTTCTCTATATTTTGAATGACACTTGCTTTGATATATTATCTGATGCAATTACATGTTTATTTATGTCTTAGTTGTCCAAATACTTTTTTGGGGCCACTGTATATAATCCACACCTAGTCTGCATCTCAATTTGCACATATACATCAGACCAAATCACATAAAATATTTGGATGAGCAGGACATGAAGAGAAGAATGACGAGAATGAAGAGAAGAGTGACTAAGAAACAGCAGACGGTTAAGAAACAAATGAGTAAAAATGGGGGAAAGACTTACTTGATTTGATGTATCCGTTATAGTTACTTTTAGCTGAGAAAATGCAAATACAAAATGAAGTTAAAGTGAGACACATGGAGCAATGAAATTATAAACCAGTGAGAAAGAAAATGGAAATAGCTAATTTTTTTAATCTAGAACTGAAGAATCTTCAACCACCCAGTGAGCACAAAAACTTAACTAGTCTCCTAGCCTGATCAGCTGACCCAAAGAGCCCTTAAAACCATCAAATTAGACCAATCTAACCAGCATGGCCAGGCTGGGACACCAGCTAATTACCTTAGGCTGGTATAAGCTTTTACATATCAATGCTCTCAACCTCCAATGCAAATGACAAATACTGTGTGTATTTACAACATATAATTCTCCTATGTATAATTCTCCTATACAGTATAGCCATTTTCCTATAAGTGTTAGTAATACCAATCACCATATCCAACATCTAGATTATTAGCATAAAACACAGCACAAACTACGCTTAAAGGACATGTTCAGATAAAGACCACTGTACATAGCCGAATGTAAAATAAAACATTACAATGACGATTCAATGAATTACAAAACTTAACTACTAAACTGCATCAATACAATTCACACAAACAGCATGCAGGAGACCGAAGTTTACAAACCACATTATCAGAACTGCAGTGCAGCTGCACCATCTAGTGCTGAATGAGAGCAGGTGCCTGCAGAGCTGAATTATATTCAGACACAAGTGACATTCAGACTGCAAAAAGTATTTGGACACAACCTGTGTAAACTGATTTCATACAGCCACTTATTATTCTTAATGACCAACGAGCAAAAAAAGTTATTTCTCTATATTTTGAATGACACTTGCTTTGATATATTATCTGATGCAATTACATGTTTATTTATGTCTTAGTTGTCCAAATACTTTTTTGGGGCCACTGTATATAATCCACACCTAGTCTGCATCTCAATTTGCACATATACATCAGACCAAATCACATAAAATATTTGGATGAGCAGGACATGAAGAGAAGAATGACGAGAATGAAGAGAAGAGTGACTAAGAAACAGCAGACGGTTAAGAAACAAATGAGTAAAAATGGGGGAAAGACTTACTTGATTTGATGTATCCGTTATAGTTACTTTTAGCTGAGAAAATGCAAATACAAAATGAAGTTAAAGTGAGACACATGGAGCAATGAAATTATAAACCAGTGAGAAAGAAAATGGAAATAGCTAATTTTTTTATTCTAGAACTGAAGAATCTTCAACCACCCAGTGAGCACAAAAACTTAACTAGTCTCCTAGCCTGATCAGCTGACCCAAAGAGCCCTTAAAACCATCAAATTAGACCAATCTAACCAGCATGGCCAGGCTGGGACACCAGCTAATTACCTTAGGCTGGTATAAGCTTTTACATATCTACGCTCTAAACCTCCAATACAAAAGACATATATACTATGTGTATTTACAACATATACTGTATAATTCTACTATACAGTATAGCCATTTTCCTAAAAAGTGTTAGTAATGTCAATCACCATACCCAACATCTAGATTATTAGCATAAAACACAGCACAAACTACGCTTAAAGGACATGTTCAGATAAAGACCACTGTACATAGCCGAATGTAAAATAAAACATTACAATGACGATTCAATGAATTACAAAACTTAACTACTAAACTGCATCAATACAATTCACACAAACAGCATGCAGGAGACCAAGTCTACCACACAGATACATCCATGGGATTACAGCAGTCTTCACCACATCAGATGCCACCACTACATGGCACTGCACCAGCCAGATGGCACATACACAGGTAGCGGGCACAGATGAATACACGGGCACTCAGCATGGGTGCCACAGGGAAGGCGTTCACTTACAGGAGCATAAAGTGGTCGTGTTATCATACAGAGACACAGGAGAGAAGGGGAAGCCACGGTGCAGAACCTCCATGTTACTAGCCACACTGTCTGACATGCACGAGCAGCCACGTTCTGCCCCACCGCAAGCTACACAACATGCCAGATGAATTCTCTTGTAGGCGGACTTCTTGGCTGGGGTCATGGGGCGGATGAGGGGAGAGGAGGAGGAGAAGCATATTAATGGATGGGAGCATTATTTCACTAACAGAAGCTGGACATCCAGAAACTACAGCGGGCCAAGTATAGAGCCCTGAGGAACACCTTCAGAAAAACATGTTTGTTATCAAGTAATATATAATTCTGTTACAGAGTAAAATCTGTTGTATTTTTCAACAACAAGACATCAGTTCAAGTGGTTCCGATGCTGTTTTAATTATTTTTTATATTCTTGGGAATACTGTATTTTAGAGATGCGAGTAAAGCATGTAAATGCATGGAGATGAATGAGAAAAGATATCAGGAGCTCACTGTAACATGTCCTGCCATGGTATATAAAATATAAAAGAGCATTTTTTAACCCTTAAATTATGCAAACCACAACATTTTACCTCATAAATTACACAAAATTCTATTCTTAAATATTACAAAATAAAAAAAACATATGAGGTGATATCTAAACTCAAAACAGAATAATTCTCAGAAAAGCCCAAGTGCTGTTAGGAGCCTGTTAGAACAGCAAAAATTCAAGCTGTCTCCTATGCGGTGGAGGACAGTGGGTTGATGGAAGATGTAGTTTTACATTCACACATGCAGCAGGCTACAGTCATTACTCACAATGCAACACTATCAGAGAGTGGGGGAAATGATCACAGATCCAGGGCAGCGAGAAAAAGGGAAAATGTGAAATGTGTCAATTACTAACTAAATGTTTTGATGTATTTTAAAAGTATCAGGTGGAGGTAAAATCCAAAAAGTTTGATAATGTGGCCAGGCAGTGCAGTCATATCGATAAAACAGCCGCGGTAGAGACGTCATTGACAAACTCCTCCACACATGAAAGATTTATATCTAAATCATTATTTTCCAGCTGTGGGGAAAATTGTGGTAAAGTGCAATGTAAAAACCTCACAAAAATCCAGTTTGATGATTCCTGATCCCACAACAGAGTCTACCTGATTAAATATTTTAATAAATGTTATAATCAAAAAAATACGTTTTCATATTTGGTAAAATGAAAGTGATATAAAATGCACCTAATAAAATCTAATAAACCTAATAAAATCTACCTATAAATATGATTATATATAAAAAATAATCTATATATAAAAATTATTTATATAAAAATAAAAAGTGAAAGTAAGGCAATTATTAATAAATATTCTCATGGTAACTTACTCCGTTTGCATCCGCACTTCTTGATCCGTTTTGGGTCTGTAATGTCATCGTGACAAGCTTTACAGTAGAAAAGTGCCCTAATGGAAAAAGGCAATCTTATTCAAACCATTCACACAGCATATGAGCTGTTATGATATGAATCTATAGCTGGATATGTAAAAAAAAAACATCAACCTCCTCACCTCTTCACCTCTTTGGCATCACTGGCGATGAAGAAGCCCAGTGTTCCCTCCTGCATCTTCACATGATTGCCCGGGTTAATCAGCGTGCTGTAAAATACAAACAACACTCACAAACCATAGAATGTTTTCAGAAATACCTCCCTTTAAATGATAATTTCTGCACTTATGAAGACAGGACAGCTCATGCCACGAAGTGAAAACACGTTTAAAACTTAAAGGGGTCATATGATGCGATTTCAAGTTATCCTTTCTCTTTGGAGTGTTACAAGCTGATTGTGCATAGATAAGATCCCTGAAGTTGCAAAGACTAAAGTCTCAAAACCAAAGAGATATTCTGTGTATACTATCAAACATTGAAAGAAGAAATTCAAATGAAGAAAAAAAATGACCCAAAAGAGACATTAGATAAAGATTTTGTACAGTAATGTCAAAATCACCCAGAATACAAAAAGAAGCATCACGTTCCATTTGAATGTTAATGACGACATGGATTTACTAAAATGAATTTTTAAAAATTTAATTTAATAAGACTACTCTTTGTATCTGTTTGTTGTGATGAAGGTTATTGTTATGTCTGAACTAAAATAACCTATTTTAAACATTTCAGGATGACATTTGCATGCAAACATAGAGTATTAGTTTACTTGGTTTACAGACATGCAAGCATGGAATAGTTCACCCAAAAATGGCATATCTGTCATTATTTCCACTCTCATGTCATTCGAGACACGTGACGTTTCTTCTTCCATGGAATATTAAAGGAGATTTTTAGCATAATGCCTTAAATATACGATGGTTTTGTATAATAAACAGTTTACTGATTTTCCCTTCTGCTGCAAATCTCAAATCTCATTCATGATTACGTTTTTCAAGCTGCATCACGATCAGTCACATGCTGTCACATGCATTCCTTTTTATGTTCCACGGAAGAAAGTCATACAGGTTTGGAATGACATGAGAGTGAGTAAATGATCACAGACGTTTCATTTTTGCATGAACTATCTCTAAAACGTTCAGCATGTTTAATTTCATAATTGTGTCACTACAGAAAATAACAGATTTGTTGACAGTAAAAGCATTAAACATGTTCAGAAGGGCAGTGGCAGATACGTCACCACTGTTTTCAGTGCCACATTACAGTTTACACACACAGCTCGACCAGAAGTACAGAAACTGAACGACAGTATCCCTTGAAAATCTACACATATAATTTGCTGCCTTGACTAAAAGCCATTTACAATATTGTCTCGACTTTTAACCAAGCGCATAAAGACCCTAAAACATTCAGAAACGTTTCAGGGAAATATGGCAATTAAATTTTCAAGAGAATTTGGCATGACGTGACCACACCAAATGAAACCTTATAATTTCATACCATTTTCCACCCCTGTGTGAAACAAACACAAACAGCAGCGAAGTCAGACAAGCCACTAAATGCAGGATAAAGAGCATGCTAATCATTTCAGCAGGGTTATTATCGTTAATTAACACTCAAACTAAAACCATAAAAAACATTTTTGTTACTTGAAATAATATTAACATTTACTGAAGTAAAATAAATTTAAAAAAAAATTTTAGATAGCAAATATTAGTCTGACAAAGTTTCTGAAATAACAAACAACGGAAATAAAATAAAAACCTTTTAGTCATACTTTACATATTTCTCATTTTCGTTTTGTTTAATTTAATGCACTAAAATAACTACAAAAAATAAAATAAAAACTATAACAAGTAAAATAAAAATTATATAGACCTTTAAAAAATAACATTTACTGAAGTAAAATAAATAATAAAAAAAACTTTTTAGATAGCAAATATTAGTCTGACAAAGTTTCTGAAATAACAAACAACGGAAATAAAATAAAAACCTTTTAGTCATACTTTACATATTTCTCATTTTCGTTTTGTTTAATTTAATGCACTAAAATAACTACAAAAAATAAAATAAAAACTATAACAAGTAAAATAAAAATTATATAGACCTTTAAAAAAATAATGTACAAGACAAAAATGCACAACAAAATCAAAAAATGTTAACTAAAATTAAAATTAAAACAACATAAACATACAATCTCATTTAAAATGCTAACAAAAACTATAATAGTGCATCAATGATACTAAAATAACACTGCATTTGAGTCAAGAGCATGCTAATTAAAGAAATATATATTGCTGTCACTGGATCTGGATCTTTTAGGACTGTGAATGTTTTTAATGAAGATCAGACTGACCTGCTTTCTCTCTGGTCTGATTTATACTCGATCGCGATCAGCAGGAGTTTCAGCTTCACATAGCACAGTCTACAGAGAAACAAAAGATCAATTAAAAGTAAACTACATATACTAGATGAGCATTTTTTGGACATTTGTTTCCTTATTTATTTATCGCATTTATATCTGTTTACACCTGCAACTTTACAGCCAAAATATCCAGAAGCGCATTCGGATAATCAAGAAATTAGAAAACCTGACTGAATTTGCGTAAACATAACTTTTGACCAAAAGGCTTCTGCTTAAATGCAGTTTTGTAGACATTAACATTTTCAATGCTTGAATTTCTTTACAAAGCAAAGTCTGGCGTCTTTGAAATTGCTCAAATATAAGAGTTTACATTTCTCAACATCATTCTCATACTTCAGTTTGTGTTTTTTTCATAGTTTCAATGGGCCTCATTCATGAATCTTGCATAAATATATGAGTAAATTATGAGTAATTTGAGCGTAAAACAGACCTTCCCGAAAACTATCCTCCGGATTCACAAATTCTTCGAAAACGTCCGATTTGATAGTTAAACATGTGTATGTTAATGAACTCCAATCATTAGTAAATAGGGCGCTCTTGCACGCTCATTCACAATTAGCATAATCCCCGCGTATGAATTACAGCTACGTAAATTGCGTGTCCAGGAACACAGTGGAATATTCTGGTCTACTTTCTCAGGTTTGGCTCCAGTATATTGCATAAATGCAAAAAAGACTAATGGGCCATATGCCTAACAATAAATATTCAATAACGTGTGTCCACCAAAGAGTTTTCAGCCAGCTGAAAAAATGTCAGGTGCTCTTCTTAAAACGACCAGCTGGTGGCGCTTGAGAACACTTTGGTGGCACAGTGTTTTTCCTTAGTTGCTATGATTTGGAATATCCACGGCGACAACTTATTACTAATATCTCATTTTTAAGAATTTTACTAAATATAAAAAAGCAGTAACCAGTAATATTAAATTCATTGTTGTAGGCAGTCGTTGTACAACCAGGATGGTTGGTCGTATGGCTGCAAGATTAATCGAATGCGATTGTCATGCGCATTTTGTTAAAAAAGCCTGTTCTGTAATCAGCAGGAAATCATCATCACGTGCTTTCAGATGGAGCAGAATTTACTACACATAGCCGTAGTTCACTGACAAGTTACGCAAAAAAAATCGCAGACGATTTTATTGCGCGATTCTGAAATCGAAGAAATCGTTCGCGATAATGACAGCTATTTGCATAGCTTCTCAGTGAACTACGGCTCTGTGAAGATAATGCTGCTCCATCTGAAAGCATGTGAAAATACCACATTTAATAACATATTTTTACTCCAAACTCACTTCATAACGTCAGTCGAGTGTTTGAAATAAATCCGTCTGTGAGATGATGTGGCTTCTTAAACAGAATAAGGCACGCAACATATTTCATAGTATCTAAGCAGTGATAAAGGCATT